ACCTGGAAGTTAAGGTGTGTGTTGCATAATTGAAGGTGTTATTTTGTGGGTGGGATTTTGGTGAAGTGTGAAGTGTGAAGATTGGTTTATAAGAAGTGCTGTGAAATCGTTCAGGCCACCACTGGAGCCTCTTGCTGGGATAAATTTCAGCTCAGAATATTAGGGATGAATTGGTCATGACACCAGGATGAATATTTAGCTTAAACCCAGAGTTTACAATGGGTAATACCTAATTACAACAGTAATACTTAAATCACAGACCTGTAGCTTACCTTGGGTCGGAAGAGATCTTTAAAACCACCTAGTCCCAACCCCCAAATGTACTGCATGCTCTGACATAGCTCAGTGCTGGGCTGTTTTGGATTCTCAAAGACATGAGCTCTACAGCAATCCCACTGTTCTCCTGCCCTGCCTTGAGCTTACTTCTGCTCTGCATCAACAGAGCAAAGCAGAGCAGGCACAGAATACTGATTCCTGCTCTGGGAACACATTCCTGCTTCCAGGTGTACTGCTGCAAGTAGAGGAGTGCTGGCATAAAGATGTCAGTTTGCTGAAACCCTTCAGTTTTTCAGTGACAAGCTCATTTTTCCTCAAGGAAAAGCTATCAGTGAGGAAGCTGAGAGATGCCCTCCAAACATGGTGGTGCTTAAAGGATGCTTTAATAATCTACAAGAGACAGAGAGCAGGGGAAAAGGGGAATTTGCAGGTAATTACTGTGGTTTCCAAGGCAGGAGAAATCCTGACAAAAGGAGCCTTCCAAACAGCATAAACAACAGGGGAAATTCAACAACTGAGATGCAAAAATAATGCATAGTATCTTGAAATACTCAGATGGTTATTTTATACAGCTGGCTATGGAAATTCTACATTGTTTCAGCTCTAGCAGATCTTTGAGTCATTATAAATAACTTAATGAAAGTGTTTACTGTGGAGGCAAGGTCAGTGGAACAGAATTGTAATTGTGCAATGAAAATCACAATGGGGAATAATAAAGAAAATGATACAAACCTGTGTAAATCAAAATGCTTTTTCACCTTGAACGCCATGTGCAATTCCAGGTACCTAAACTGAAAAGTGGACATGAGAGAAATGGAATTGATTCTGTGATTTGTAGCAAGAACTATTCAAAAATAAGATCATTCATCTCAGAGATGATCCACAGCACTAAAATATAAACAAATAAGCTATAGAGATGAGGTAGCTGCAGAGCTCTGTTTAGCACTTTCTTAATTTTTTAAAACAAGTAATATTTCCTGAAATAGGAAGGCAACGTTTTTTTAACAGGAAAGAGAAGTAATTTTTGCAGTAAAATCATAAGTAGCCTTTGGACTGCATTGCTACATGATATTGTGGTGATCATAAAAGCTTAAAGATGCTGTTCAATAGATGGTAAAAACCTGGGATTCCTGAGGTTTGTATCCTAAATCTCTCGTCTCTCCTGGCCTCATGGCCACCTGCTGGATTAAGGAGGTGGCCTGTGTCCCAGGTAGGACACACACACTGATGAGTTAATAGGTATTTCTCTGAGGGATGAGATTAACATGGTAAAACCTTCTCTCTTTCTTCTTTCTTCCTAAAGGCTGGTGGAGCCTGACAGCTCAGAGACATCTCTGGTTGAAACTGAGAAAGATGTTCAAAAGGGAAAGAGATAGAAAGGTTATCAGATCAAAAGAAATGAGGATAAAAGAGTCCTGCTTGTCCCTAGAGAAATGTAATTTGCTCTAGGCTGCAGTTCAATTTTCATCCTGGAGAAGCTTCTAAGGAGACTGATCCCAGAATGCCACCAGGTCTGGGGAATTGCAAAAGATTCTGTGAGTGTTTCCAGGGCTGGCTGAGCACTGAAGTTGGACAATGCTAGAGCCAGGAATGTGTCACTGGTGAGGGTGGCTCTTCCCTTCTCCTCTGCCCAGCTCCAAAGGCAGCTGGAGGGGCAGGATGGACCTGGGGAGAGGCAGGGCTGGATGCAGAGGCAGAGGAGCAGGAGATGTGCTGGAAGAAAGCCAGGGCTGAAGCCCAAATTTGACACAGCAGAACTTGAAAAAGTTGCAGAGCAGCTTGATCAGGAAACTTTGCCAATCTATTTCTGTTTGCTGGAAAGGTCGTGCGTCAAGCAAGGCTTTTTACTTCCTCCCTAGCTGCAAGAGACACATTCTCTAGTAATTGCGGATATTTACTTTATACTCAGATAAGCCTTTTATTTTCTCTGACATTTTCCCTGAGAGATAAGGATGTCTTGTTTCTGATACTTCTTTTTCAGCTTGCAGCACTAAAAGAGCAGATGCTGCTTCAAGAGAGTGAAGGGTGGGTACTTCCAACCTAACATCACCTACCTGGCTTCAAACAAAAATGTGTGCAGGAATAAAATGTCTCCAAGAGACATTTTGTTGTCCCTACACATCTCTTCTGTATAAACACAGTTTGGAAAATAAAATACCTTCTGCCATCACATGCAGCTAGAGATTCTTCGAAGTCAAGAAGAGCAATAAAAAGCAACGTTTTTTGAGCTGTGCAGGGTCCTGTGCAAATAGCCCAGATTTTATCTGTACCCTGCTGCTGCTGCTGCCAGAGAGAAGTGGTAGAAGATTCAGTGGTACATTTTGATCTCTGCATCCTCTGGTTTGCCTTGAAAACTTTTCCATTAGTGCTCCTGAAGCCAACAGTGAAACAAACTCAGGAGATGACTCTGCAAGGCCAGGTTGTAACTTCTTGATGTGCCTCACTGTTGGGAGCCAGCAAAAGATCAGTTGCTCAAGTTTTGAGAAGGAGAGACTGTGGGGCTCCAGAAAGAACAGATTTCATGAAAAATCCCACTTGTTACCACTGGGATAAATATAAAGGTGTCTCTGCTCTTCCTGAGTGTCTGTGCAATATCTGTAAACTCATTGAGACATTCCTGTTGTGGGATGCACATGGAAAAACCCATAGAGATGAATGAGGTTTGCTAAGAGGTTAGGCCTATTTGCAGCTTATTCAAGGGAGACTAAGTAGCAAAATTTTGAAGTAGGAGGTGTAGAAATGCATCTTCAACATTCTAATTTTTTTTTGTAGTTTTAGGAAATGTATGTGTGTACCGAAGTATCTCGTTGTTCTTCTGATGTTTTTATCAGATCCATGCAAAATGCAGTTGGTTCCAGCCTTGAAATGCAAATTTGTCTTACACTGCTCTTGCTGCCAGTAGGAAGACTAAAAATACATATGTAATGATGTTCCTGGAAGATGTTCAAATGCCTTTAGATGATGATTCCAGTTTTTTTTCCCCCCCTGCTATCCAAAATAGTGTTAATTTCACAGGCTCATTTTGGCCAAAATGTACGGATTTGTATTTAAATTCAAAATTCCTCTGAGGATAAAATAATTCAGCTATTAGAAGAAATTTGCCAAGTAGGTAGGTCACCAAAACAAAAAAAAATTAAATTAGGTTTTGCCAATTTATTATGCATATATCTGGTTTTGTGATTTTCTTGTTACTTTCAACATTCTTTGCAGTATTAGAATCCCACAAAACAGCCCACAAGCCTGGTAATTCAGGAAGGCTTATAACTGAGGCAGGTCTATTTAATTTTGTTAACAGAGAAAAAATAAGAGAAGCAACAAAAAAGAAGCATAATCATCATAACCAAAGGCAGTTGTTACAAAGGCTTCTGACTAATGCCAACAGCAATTTTTGAAAGTGGGGACATTTTAAGGCTGGTGCCTAAAAATATGGGTTTAGGAAAGCATACATAAGTGACTATTTAAAGCGTCAGAGTCAGGGAAATTTCCCTGCTAAAACCATATTTTAAAGCTGTCCTGAGTGAAGGTAGAATTTGGTTGATTTCAACATAAAATTATTTAAAGATACTCCATACTCCTGTGTTTTTTGAATGGGAACCAAGAGCACCCAGACCTCCTGAAAAACAGGCATTTTAGAGATTTTGATCATGTAAGTATAAAAGGACAAGGTGGGACATTTTGAGTTGGCTTCAATGTCAAATCTTTAAATACAGATGTACTTGTGGGATTCATCTTGTTAAACACAGATGTAGGTGTGGGATCCATCTTGTTAAACACAGATGTAGGTGTGGGATCCATCTTGTTGAACTCCAAGCATCCATTGTGGACATTTCTGTTGGATTTGGTTGTCCACTTTGCCTCCAGGCAATGGGGAGAAGAAGGGATGAATCATCTTATCCTGGAGCAGTTTTCTAAACCTGGTCACATGAATCTTCCCCTCCAAGGGCACATTCCTCTCCCAGGAGTGTGGGATGGGCGTTGACACCACAGATGTCTGAAATTTGAAGTTACATCTTGTCCTGGATACTAAAATCCAGGCATCATCCTGTGAATATTTTGCTTCAGTCTTTCTTCTTCCCTTCACCACCTTTAACACACGATACAGCAGTGTCCCTTTAATGATTTCTTTTCCACAGGGCTCAGAGGTGGAAGAGATTTATGCCACTTGGTAAATTTAATTTCATACTCGGGGCAATAAAGAATGTGAAGGTGCACTTAAGAGTTATAAAAAAAATCTTGGCTCTCAAACCATAAAATTTCTTCAATGTGGGTATTTCAGGTGTCTTAAAGCTGAATGTGCTCAAAGCAGCCTGAATGGGCATTGATGATAGGAAATCAGTATCAGAAACATGGTAAATCAATGTGTTGTCTGGATAGCAGGGTAAAGTTAAATATCCCAAGCAATGATATCAGAAAGTGTTTTGAGAGATAACCACATATGAAATTCTGGAGAAAGAGGCTTTAAGGTAAAGCTAATAAAAGATAACGTGGCTAAGCTGGAGTGATTCAAGGTGAAATTCAATTCCCAGAAAATTCTTGGTGCTTTGACAAGAGCACATTTTGCCATCGTATCTACAGCTCCTAAACAGGCATGGCAGTATCAATCAGACTTAGAATGAAATATAGTTTGATAATTAGCTGCAGAAAAGGATTTGAAATGATACAGAGCATCAAGAAAGAAAGTAAATAACTGAAATGCTTGGCAAAATTATGTGTGTTTAATGAGAATCAACTTAGCTTCATTTAAAATTGCTGTAGAGTCTTAAGGTCATTTCAGTCATCAGACAGTGATGATTTATTCCCTAGAATTAAATAGGCACACTCCAAACCTAAATAGAAATGAAGGATTTGCAGCATATTACAATATTCTATATTGGCACTGAGCAAGAAGCCCTCCTGAATGAAAGCAAATGACTTTTTGTAGCTGTAGCATGGTAATTGCTTGAAGAACAACAACAAAAATCCCAACAAAAAAACCCAGCAAGCTATTTCTGAAATACAATGCACCAACAAAATAAGAAATGGAATTGAATGAGAAAAATATATCTGCTGAGGATGAAATCAGACAGCAGGGAGAATTTATAGCCCTGTGCTAATTTCCTACTATCAGACACTGAGCTGGATGGGAAAATGACAGAAGAGAACCTTATCCAATAGACGTGGCAGAAGTGATGGGTTTGAAAGATGACAATCTTCATCTGAGCTGGTAAGAAAGATTCATATTCATAGAGCCAAATGTTAAACTTTCTCATGAAAGTAAAGTGTTTGCACCTAATATATTTAGAAATTAGAATCAGGAGGAGCTTCTCCTGCCATCTCATCCCCTATAGCTTTTTGGAATAAACTAAATGGCTTTACTGTGCTCAGGAAATCAGGTAAGTGCCTGCTGAGCCTGTTTGCTCATTTACTCCCATCACCAAGATAAAAGACTTGTAAATGTGTTTGTAAACAGTGAGTTATGGGGTTCTGAGTTTGCTGTGCTGCAGGATTATGCAAGGCACGTAGCCCTGTACATTTACTCCTGCAGGTTCTCAAACCAGCCACGAGCAGGGTTTGTGAGGGGAAGGGGGGTCCACGTGCTGCACAGAGATGGGGTCAGTGCTTCACTGGCTGACAGTCTGCCCTTTAAAATACAGAGTAGCAGGGAATGAAGCAGCTTTACCAGGATTTAGACCTCAGCCTTTTACTTAACTGCATAAATCTAATTTGGTCTGTTTTGCTTAAGCTTCTGAAAAGCTCAGGGACATCGAGGGGATGCCTGAGCTGCAGCACTGGGGTCTCTTGGACTCTGTGCTGCATTAGGGTCAGCCTAGGCATCATCTTCAATATTTCCTACCTTAATCTGTGGCAGTATCCACCTGAAAGTTCCTAGCAGACCTAAAATCAGTGTTGTCAAAACTGAATTTTTATTCGTTTCCCTACCAAACATCCACTCACTCGAGTTCTTCAGACATACCCAACTTGTGTGCTCTTCTCTGTTTCTCTGCTGGATGGGTTTGGCTTGACTCTGACTCATCTCTGAGCACTCCTGGCATAACCAGATCTAAGCTATATATAATTTTGGGTGATGCAATGACTTCAGGATTGAGGAACTCTCTTGTTCAGGTCATTCTCATCTCACACCCTCATTTGCTCTTTCCCCTGACAGCCTCTTCTTCATCCATGTAAATCCTTTTCAAATAGAGGTGAAATTACTGTTCCTGTAGTTCATTATTTAAGGGAATAAGGCACTTTCCCTTTTTTTTTTTTTTTTTTTTTTTCATTTGCATTCCTTCTTTGGAAATCTGCACAGAATTCATCACAAAACACTTGTGCACTTTCACAGACCCCCACAGCCTTTACCAACCCTTCTGATGGACTCCTGGTTTCCTTGTGCTTCCTAGTCAAAGAATCTGTGTGTATTGCAGAAATGTCGTGGTTTAATCATCAAATATTGATGGCCAAAACTGCAGGATAAACATATTCACTGCTTATCTTAGGGATGGATGTCTGAAGTGTTTGGTAGGACCATTTAACACTGAAATATTTACTGTGTAAAAGCAAAGCCCTGCTAGCAATGTTGTGATGGGACAACTGGATGGTAACACATTACTTTATATAGTAAGAATTATAGTAACTTTATATAGCAAAGAATTGCTATATAATTACTATTACTTTATATAGTAAAGAATTATAAATGCAGCCACGGAAAACAAAATCAGATATTGGCCTGGAGTCTGGGCCTGATGCAATCCTTTTTGGGTTATTATTAAATCCCATCACCATGTCTATTAGGGCACAAAGAACTGCAGCTCAGGACTGAGCACGAGAGTGGGAGCAGAATTCACCTGCCTGCAGTTTTCCACATAAATATAGATGATGAGATCAATTATACAAGAACCTGATTTTTTGCTGGCTCATTTCTCTCCTAGCAAGAAATCACAGAAGTTTCCAGAAGTTCAGTTCTTCCTAAACTCCTCAGAAGCAGGAACAACACATTATCTAATGGAGATTGCAGACCTCCAGCGTGTATGAAACCATGAATAATAAAATAAATAAAATAAATTCACTCACCCGGGATGCGTGATTACTTCTGCACTGATATATTGCTTGAAGCATCCTGCAGTCTTAATTACAGACCATTCCTTGCACTTATAAGGATATCACACATTTATTTTGCAATGTGAATAAAACTACATATTTTTCCCCCTGATTTGTGAGGAAAATATTCAAGCTAAGTATTGCTTGCTTCTGGTGTCATAATGGTGAGAAAAGGTATGAGAGGGAGATAAAAAACAGTGTTGGCTTCAGGTAAGAGGAAGGCTGAGATTGGTGTGATCTGTTTGGCCATGAACTGGTTAAAAGACAGGCGTGCAGAGCCTCCTGGCAAGGCAGTGAAACATATGGACGACTTTGCCCAAACTAGGACTCCTCTCAAGGAGGGAAGTGCTGGAGAATCTGTGATGAGAGAGATAGAAATGAATATTCCAGGAGACTGGTAAGATTTGGGCTGTATCTTTAACTGGTGCAAAGTGGAGTTCATGGAGCACTGAACTGGGGGTGAACCTGTTTCACTTTTCCTATCTCTCCACTAAATGAAGTGGTGGAGGAAAAAAACAGTTCTGCCCCTACCCAGGTGTGTGAACAGCAAAGTATCTGCAGAGATAAGGGGGAGTCAGGGAGAGCAGAGAGAAGATATTCCATATGGAGGAAATGCGGCAAGACAAACCAGGACACTACAGAATACTTTGCAAATGTATTCCCAGCCTTAAATAAAACATTTTCTGCTAAAAGAAACATTTTGAGAAGATAACCCAAAGCCAGACTGGCTGCAAATCAGTGCAGTAACCACAGGGCAGCCTGTTAGAAATGTTGGGGTCACCTTCACCCCTCCTTGGGCAAGGTAAGGCAGCTCTTTTTCACCCCTCGACTGAATGTACAGCTGGCAGGCAGTTTTTGTTCTTCCACTGCATTCAAGACATGCAGAAATATTCCCTCCCATGCCATACAGTCTTTTATTGCTCCTGGGCTGCTAAAGGATTATCCGTAATTCAGGTGATTTGCAGAGAATTCCAGTAACAGTCTCTCACTGAGCCCTGTGCAAGAGATAACGATGAAAATGTATTTCAGACTGGAAAAAAGCTTCCTATCTCCTACCCAGTCAAAAGTAATTCCACAGCAGCAAGGTACTGTACTCTGAGATGGATTTTAATCTGCCTTACAACATCTGAAATTAGAGAAACTTCAGGTGGAATGGGTAGAGTTGCAGTAACATAAATCAAATCCTTTTTCAGCTCTGCATGTAGGGAGAGATTCTTTTTTTCCCCCAAATAAAGGAGGATTGAAAGGCAGAGTTCTCTTTCCTTACACATCTCTTCCCTGAATATACTGATGAATTTCAGGTAGAATGAGTTAAGACAGGGCTGTGCACAAAGGGGATCAAGTAATGTTGACAAGAAGTAGCTGGTGACAACAGCAGTTAATACCAAGGAGGCTGAGAGAGGATTTAGTGGTTATGGCACTATTACACAGACTCCTGGAGATAAGGCAGAGTCAGCCAGCAAGGAGGCAGGAGGAGCAGAGTCAGCAAAAGACAAAAGGAATGAAAGGAGCAACTTAGTCATTAGGAGAGCAAAACCCCTTAGAGGTATTTGTGCCCTTCACCCATGTGCTTGGCTGTGGTGGCAGCACAAGAGGCTGTGCCACGACAGGAGAATGGAGCCCTGTAGGTGGGAAGGGTATTTATTCACCATGTTTTATACAGCCAGGCAGTTACATGGCCCCATCACCAGCATTCTGCCCAGTTTGCCTGGCACTCTCACACCAGTGGATCAACTAGTGAAGGATTTGTCTCCTGACACAGTGGTGGTGCCCACAGGGATGAGCCCTGTGCCTCTACCACTTGCTTTCTACACCTAATATCACACAAAAACTTTGTGCTGTAATTTACTACCCCAGCCTGTGTCAGGAGATTGCTTTTCATAAGGTCAGTGGCATTTTCAAAGAGCAAAGCAAGAGATTTTGGCAGGATGCAGCTGCCACATCCCGAGCAGGCACCCAGATGCCATCGCCAGCCAGGCAACAAGGTGTTAGAAGCCTTGATGTACTGACATGGAGCAGGAAAAAAAAGAATTTCTAAGTGCTTTTGAACTGCTTGGAACGCTCCTTCGGCCAACAGATTCAAAGAATTGGAGACAACCAGCACAAAAGTGTGCTGAATAGGGATGAAAAAAGCATGGATTCAATGCTTTCAGCCAGCCAAGTGCATCAAGCTGCAGCTCTCTGACAACCCCCTGGTCCTGTCACTTAGGAACTGCAGACAAAAGGTCTCTGAAGCCCTGGCCCTGCTGACCAGCACATGCTCACAGAGGGGACAGGCTGCCAGCCCCAAGCATGTGTTCTGCCCAGAGGATTGATAATTTTCATCTCTCTTTCTAACCACCCAGAGGCCAAAACTCCCCTGGAGTTCAGTATTTATCTGCACTAAAGAGTAAAATTTTACTTTTTAATAAGGAAAAGCAGGTGGAGGCTGCAAAGATGTGGCTTTTATCAACAGAACATCTTTTTTCCTACTTACTTTTTTGCTTAAATGTGAGCATTTAGGGAGTACTATGAAAGAGGTGCTCATCCATGTGCACTCAGCTGTCTTTTGCTCACAGAATTTGGAAGATTTTACCCTGCAAGAACAAATACTCACCTCTTTTAATTGAATAAAATTATTCTTTATCTTAATTACAAATAACTGTTTTTCAGCATGGAGATTTCAAATATACAACACTGAAAGTGGTTTAAAAGGGGGGATAATACCCCAGTTTATCAGAGAGAGAAACAACCTTCACCTCCTTTTTGTCTCCCTGTTTTTAATGTGTGCCAACTGCCCCAAAACCTGTTGTGGGAGCTGGGGATCAGGAAGCCAAATCTGGACACATGGATATTTCCACCAATAACCTTTGATCCTCAGCCACATCCCTTGTCCTGGTCAGGGTGTAGCCATCACTGTGGGCATGCAGATTTGTAGGATTGTGGCCACGGTGGCCACGGTGACCCTGGGGCTATTCCTGGTGGCACCAAGCTGCAGAACAGCCCCAGCAGAGCTGAGGATGAGGCCCCTGGATGTAGTCATGTAATGGTTTACATTTGGCACCAGCATCCCCTCAGTTCTGAGCAAAGCTGTGCCAGAGGAGTGGTGGGAGCTGCGTTGCATTTAAATGAGAGCTTGAAAAGCACTCTGAGCTGCTCAGATGGCAAAGACATCTGCATCAACATCCTCAGCCCAGGACTATAAAAGGCACAGATCTCCAAGTGCCAGGGCACAGTGTTAAGTTCACCAATGGCATGCAAAAATCAAGACAATACAGTCTTGGCTACTGATCTGTTGAATCTGTTACCAAAAGGAGCCCAAAAAAAAAAAAAAAAACCACCCCAATAAACCATTCAGCACAGAGGACTTCAATGAGACTCTCCCCATCTCCTGCAGCAAGTTCATTTCCCACAGAAAATAATCGACAGAGAATGACAGTTGCAACCCCTGTGTGTGTGAGGGAAAAAGAGACTGTCTCTGTATCTCAAAGCACATTTTTATGAGATTCTGGAAAGAAGTTGGTCTGGGATAATTGTTGCTGGAGACACTGAGAGGCACTGAAAGCACCAGCAGGCATTTCTGACTAAACCCAAGAAATTCTTAAAATGTAAAACACAGTGTGAAAGGAAAAGGGGGGGGGGAGAGAAAAAAAAGAAGAAAAGAAAAAAGAAACCCCACTAACCTCCCCCAAACCCAAACTCTGCAGTTGTGAAGCCAAAGGAGCCCTCTGAAGACAGACGGTAAAGTCGACTCCCTGCAACGGAGAGTTCTTGCAATCAGAGAACACACAAGTCGGAATTTCTTTTCTTTCCTCATGACCTGAAAAAAAAAGTCTTTGATATTCTGGAGGGAATTAGGAAAAAAAAAAAAATTGAAAGTGAGTGAACTTCACTAACAGCCTTCTCCCCATCCCTGCCCCTTGGCAAAAGGATATTTTCTGACAGAATGCTCTCCTGTTTGAAAATGCTTTTTGCCTGCTATTAACTGTTATTCTGGAAGTTTCCTATATTCTTTTTGAAGGCTTATCTATCTGATTTATTCATGTTTCTTAATATGAATAAGAGTCCAGAGTTTTACCTTATAGACAACAACAAAATTAATTGTGTGTCTGGGAAAAAGGCTGGAAATGTGTGATGCTTGGGATAGCCAATGCAAGGACAAGATCTGTAGTAATATTTTTAAAATAACAACTTAAATCAGTAATGCATTTTGCTCAATTGCTTCTGGTAGGTTATTACTTGGCTGGAAAATTCAGAGGTAAGTCACTAACAGGAATTCTCTTGCCCAGGACACATCTCAGCCCTCAGATATTTTTCTCTGCCTCCAGAAGCTACCAAAAAAGAGATAGATCCATACCAACAAAACCCTTTGCCTTATCTTATGAAATACAGGTAGATTTAAAATCTTTCCTCTGCAGCATTTAGCAAGTGAGCCTTATATGCAATGTGGGGAACAGAGCAGCCCTTTTCCTATATGGATTATCACACAGGAAATTTTCTTCTCTTTTTAATTATTGTTCCCATATAGTTATGCTTGAGGTCCCTTTTCATCCTCTGAGCAGGTAGAAGACGCCCTGAGAGGGGGAATGCCTCACTCCACAGCATGTGAGTGCTTCCTCAGCAGTGCCCTCCTCACAGCAGATTTTTGGATAACACATGGAAACAATTCAAACTGGCATCAGCTGCTAAAGTGGCTACAGCTGCCCATTAAAAAGTAATTGCATTTAATTTCCATTAAAAAAAAAAAAGAGTATTTTAATTTGATTTTTTCATCTTTGCACTGCAGTTGAGACTCTTTTATGCACCTGTCAGTATCACGATGTTGTATCAAGAATAAAATTTCCTCCAAGCATCTGTTTCAGCTGATTGAATATTCTCTTACTGTATAAGATGAGTCCATTGTCTAATGAATTAATGTGATTTAATTTTTGAACAACATGTCAGGGACTCCTAAGCTTGTGTATGCAAATTCTTCACCTCTATGAAAGAGCCA